AAATTCAATCTTCCCATAGACAAACACTGGGGACTAAACAACATCACCTGCTGAAGTTAAATCCCACTCAATATGAACTGAACACGTATACACTCTGTTTTAAAAGATTCAGAATACTAATCTGTACACACAACTTGAACTGAGATGCGGTTTAGACATGTATTTCAATAAAAGTTGGATGGCCTTTGAACTAAGTGAGTCCTAGATGCACAAACAGTCATGAGCATACAGTATTTCCTTTATGTTTTTAAAAAGAAAACTTCAAATGAATATAAAACTTTTAACGATTTACCTTTAGAGAAATGCTTGAAAACGGGAGTTGAACAAGATATATTGCTAACTGACACCAGTAGTTGTAGACCACTCACGCCTATTAGCAGTGCGTGCTAGCCAGGTCAAGGTAAACTAAACACCTGTCAAGCATTTTGCTCATTTGGTGTCAAGTTCATCAACTCAGAGAGTCGAATTGTTCCAGCCTTCATGTCAGTTAGATTACACTATGTCACATGAATATTTTATTTTTCATAAGAAACCATAATGGCATATATCACCACAGATTGTGTATTTCCAAATTGTGGCAAATATTTGTTGCTCAGTGTGTGGATCTTTAGAGTAGGTTGTCCTCTGAGCTACGGTTTTAGTTGGGATATGTTATGTATCAATCTTGTGTTAGACATCGCGATCAGTGCATCAGGGCGCCCTTGTAAAACTTAATGTTGAAACATTTTCCAGCTTAAACTGTAGCTCAGAGAACTACTCAGTCTGAACGCTGCATATTTTGCAAACACTTGATTTGATTCTAGGCATGACCAACCTGATCGAGCAACCAGCTAGAATTTGATAATTTTGAACAATTCTACTCTTTGAACTTAATGAATCTGTGAACACCGTTGATAAGCTCAACGGCAAATCAGCGAAATGGTCATGTAGTGTTTAGATCACCTTGGTCTTGCTGGTGAGAACTGCTGATCGACATGAGCGCTTTGCTATCTGTTGTCTACCCCAGTTAACTTTATCCGAAAGTTACTACAAATATCCGATATACTAATATTGCATAACTACTGAAACTTATCCCTATTTATGTGTATTGGACATTGACGAAGACAATTAGTTACAACTTTTCAAGTCCTGTGGAGTTTGTTGTCTGTTTCTCCTATTCTCTTTGCTGGCGTTGGTCGGTTAGAATATTAAGGGCTAAAACATTTATGGCGTCCCAGTCAAACCAATTTGATATGCACCATGAAGTGACATCAGTTGGGGGAACACTGGTAACCAGGGAGCACTGGACAGCTGTTTCGTTCCAGTGTGGGACTCTTCAGCAGTGCTCACCCTTGCCCCCACCCTGCCTAGGGGTCGAATCCAGGATCTTCAGGTTCCGTGGCTAACACATTACCATTGAGCCACTGGATCGGAACCCAGTGCTCCATATTTCCAACTTCCGTCAGTTCATGACATGGCGCGACCATCACCCACTTTGGTTGTTCAGTATTTGTCCTCACGGCCACCACATTTGCCTCATCGACCACGACTCTTCATCAGAACTTCAGGAATCACCTCTCTCTCCAACTGATATTAGTCTATGATGAACAGTAACTTGAAAAATTACTAAATCCTCACAAACCCTAAATTCAATTTGATATGCACCTATACATTCACTTTCATGTTGGAAATTATTCGAAACAACTGATTTTTCACAGAAAGGGTTTCAAAATTGGTTAGCTTGATTCTCAATGAATTGACTTCTGTACATATACCTCATATTTACAGTGGGCTATTAAACCTATTTTGCGGATGTAAGAAAGAAAATGATTGAGACAGAATAACATGGTACCGGTTAATTTCTCTGGTTCCTCATCAGCTGTTTACAATCCGAAATATTTAAAAGTTACCACGAATTGACATGGTATGATAAGAAATCTAAACATTTGTATAAACTTACCTAGTACATGCTGATAAGTTTTAGCCATATATCTTATTCACCAAAGAATTCAAGAAAACTAAAGCGGATAGTAACGAAGTGTTTTGGTGTTTAAAAAGAAATATTACGCCGGAAGATCAACAGATACTATTGGTGATGATTAATGTCGACAAACTAACCAACGATATAATGATTTAAACTCATTGAGTGAAAATGGTCATGAAATTGTTTTTACAAACAGGGACATTTTCATTTGAATGGTTATATTATCCAATAAGAAGAAGAGTGAAAAGGAATAAAGGCTGATCACCGCTTCTTTTCGAACATATAATTCAGGCTTCAGTTGCTTGATAGCCTCAGTAAACTGCAGAAGGTTTGAATTATTCTATTTCTTGGTTTTCTTGAAGGATTTTAGTGTATCTACTTCATATCTCGTGTTCTGACGCCGGGTGACAGAACTGTTAAAAGCGTGTCTTTCTCTTCAACCTAGACTTTTTGCCAAGTGATAAAAAAATCCACAATATATCCTTCTTTCTGTTCTCTATATCTAACTGCTGGTGCTCCTTCAAATACACATAAACTTGTGCATGCCATTAGGAATAACATGTTTGGGAATCTGGGATCCTTCGATTGCGCTAACGAACAGACTGTTCTGTAGAGAGGGATCAACTCAGCTCCAGGATATTTTTTGCTGTGTGCGGTGTTAAGGTTTCTTTTGGTTTTACGCGCTATACAGTCTTTGGAGTTGAGTTCAGTAAAAACTGGCTTCTTGCTCATTGTAACTTTCATTAGTTATTGTTTTCAGATCTTCCATACTTAGTGGTCCACTTCTGTGGGTAACCGTTGTCCCTCAGGAGTTTTTCAGTGCTCAGCAAATTTTCTTAAATTTATTGTTTGGATATAACGTTCTGACTTTATAAATTAGTATGTTAACTAATGCTCAATTAAAACTGATTGAGCAAAAGCTGTTGAAATTCAGATCTAGTCCATTGCATCAATGGAACTTTGATGAACATCATCGTTCCTACGCTACAAGACTTACCGTTATTTTCATTTTTCATGATGAATTCATTGTTTTCACGAGCATCTAGTAAGTAGGATGTAGGTCGTTGCACGCGATAAACGTGTCATTGACGTATCTGAAGTAAGACATCGTTTCTTCATTTTCGTCTCTAAGTTTTGAATACTCAAGGTCATCCATAAGAATGCCTGCCAACACTGGGTCTAATGGATTGCTCACTCCTGCTCCATGAGTTTGATAGTATGTAGTATAATCGAACTAAAACTGAACGTCTTTATTTACACATTAACAACAAGCGTCTGAATTTCGAAATTGGTGGGGAAAGGAGTTCTGGATGCTAGCAGATAATCTCATAGGTCTCATAAATAGGAATCTTTGTCAACAAAGAAATTATATGGAATGGGATCATGAAATCATTAGAAATGTCAATTTGACTTACATCTTCAAAGAACTGGAATGAATCTTTGTCCATCCATCCATCCAAATCAATATGGGACACGGCATTACTGCGTAACGGTCTGAGTTGCCACAGCTCGGGCCTTTTTCCAGCCCGAATCTACTTCGGCCAACATTGTGTGATGAAGCAGTCGGCGACTAGGCATACGTAACACATATCCTAACCATCTCAGTCTATGAAGGTTCACAACCTCGTCAACCGACTTAACTCTTTTCCCTAAAACTCTACACCTGAATTCTGCGTTACTCACGTGATGACACCACGGAATACGGCCTATACTACGAAAACAACGGTGGTCAAACACCTGAAGCCTTTTTATATCTTCCACTTTCAATGGCCACGTTTCACAGCCATAGAGTAGAACAGAGAGAACTGCTGTGCAGTAAACGCGACCCTTAATAGATAATCGGATATCACGGTGGCGCCATAGGTGGTGTAAGTTGGCGAAAGCCAACTGAGCCTTTGTATTCGTGCAGAGATTTCATCGGCCACTGAGCCACCAGGGTTGATCCTACTTCCCAGGTAAGTGAAGAGGCCGACACACTCAACCACTACACTCTTTATTGTTAGCCGTGGCACCGTTGAAGATCAATCCTGGAGCAACAGTTTGCATTCGGGTGGTGAGAACCGCATCCCAAACATTCTCAAATTCCCACTCAAAGTGTTAAGAAGACTCTGCATCTTGTCAGCGTCTTCACCTAACAGGACTATGTCATCTGGGTATTCTAGGCCTAACGGACACCACTCGATGACAACAACTATAAATCTTTGTAGATGTCTTCAGCTAGTTTTTTTACTTATAGGTTCTAACTTTGAATCTCAAAGTGTCAGGAAGAAGTGATCCTGTGTTAACGATATCATCTTTGTTCAGTTTACTAGGAGCATAACACTATTGTGTTGAGGTATTTAGCTCTGCGGGTGTTTATTATCTCTTCGAATAGTTTGTTTGTCACTTGTATTAATCCTGTTAGATCAGCGTTGTATATAAAACTGATGCGAAATTTTTCATTTCTGAAATTTGGCCAGCAAGAATTTAAAACCATTAATTCAAAGTTAGGCGTTAAGGTCGAACAAATCGGTTCAGTAAAACAATCTAGAATTACAAGCATATCAATAAATAGTAATAGCTAATACCCGTTGTATAAGAGGTGGCTATCTCGCCCAGTGGGCTTATGGATAACTCTTTGGCGTTTGAAGCGATGGATACGAGGTTCGAGTTTCAGTGAGAACAACGTCACTCACTAAGGTGCAGGTACATCCAATTGACGGGTCCCAAATAGGATGAAACTCGCGTCCCGGATTCCTCTACTAGCCACAACCAAGTAAATTATCCTAACTATTTAGGCAATATCGAGGCATCCGCATAGGAGACCATATGCCAACAGAAGTTGAACAGTTCGATCTAGTAAAACAACGGGGAATTAAAATAGTAATTAAGCGTTTAGCCTGTGAGCTGCATCATGTGGCAGGCATGTGTAGACCTATTTTAAGCCATAGAAACAATATTCATGATATATTCACTCCTTTTACTGATCTTCTGTTTTGCTTGTTATCAAATGAAAGTGTTTTACTTTTACTTGAAATCAGTTTCTTTTTTATATTAGGAAAATGTTTTACGTTCTAGAGATGGTAGTCAGCGATGGCGTCCACCATGGTGGTCATATAATAATAACGATATGGATGATAATGTATCCAGTGACAGACAAAAAATTTCTTCGTCAGTCTATGAAAGTCCATTTAAACCATCTGCAGTCAGAAAAAATACTAAAATACCTGGTGAAGGTGTATGCATAAATCTTTTTCAAAGAGCAATTCATGTATCCACATGTGCATGTCCTATTGGTTATGGTGGATTAGGATGTATGCCTCTACCAATAAAATATTTTCAAACATTTGGTCTTGATCCACAAAGGCAAATACTATCATATGATGCACTCATCTTGTCTTTATCTAACTTTGGTTTTGTTCCAGCTATTCTATTATCTGTTATACACCGACTATGGATACCAGCATTAGTATATGGATATACGTTTCTTTTTTCTACAGTAGGTTTGCTTTTTTTGTCGTTCTTTTTTGGGTGTATAAGTATAAATGTATTGTATTTTGGTGTGTTTCCAACGTAACTGATATATTGAAATCGGTAACCACATAAATGTTCATGATTTGTTCACTAAGGGTATGTAATACTATCTGGCTTTTCAATCCTTATTAGGTGGAGGGAGGTTTGAAACCTTGACATACTGGTAAAATATATAACAAAGCAGTAATAACAAATTTTTCAGAATACGATTAATTCATTGTATTTCTTCGCCTTTTCAACTGCTTACAGCGTGGCTATAAACATTGTAAGATATATTACTGAGAAGCACAATCTGCATACCTTAAGCGGAAGATAGTCGATTGATGAAACCTAGTGAAAGTAATGGTACAGATTAAGCAAGTCTAAATCCAATAAATTATTTATTAATCAAAACTAAAGTTACTGAGTGTCAGAAATAGAAAATGGAATGGAACGGAAAGAATTACGTAAGTGTATGCGGTAAGTTTATGGTGTGAAGTACAAAGTTAAAGACTCAATATGGGTTAAGGTCAAATTTATTAGGTCAGGTAATAAGATTGTAGTGATAGAATGGGAATCGGTCGTAAAAGGAAAAACGCCTTGTACTAAATAACATAGGTTACCATGAAACTTGGAGGTCAACAACTGCCTTTTTGTGGACACACAAGTTTGATTTAATTCTTCCGATGGCTATTGCTTGTACGAATCATAGTAAGTTAGAATTGTTTTGTTTGTTGATTGTTTTAACTGCATTCGTAATCTAAACGTCGTGTTCTGTGTCCACCAGATGTTAAGCAGTAGAACTATCGAGACAGTTCGACTCCTTTATACTTTATTGAATTGGAATGGGTTCACAAAATCTAGTCTGATCCCTGCTCTCTGTCACTCCCATGTATGTGCTCTGAGATGTACATATGAATTGGTAAATACAATCTATGCTGGCATGATCCGGAAACCTGTCAACTTTTGACTGTTGTAATGAACACTATGTTTTGCATATGGAAACTAATTTAGTTGCTGAGAAAATGACTTTTAGTGTGGTTCTTATTCTTCTATTAACCCTGTTCATCAGGTGATGAGTATGGACCGCGGGAAAGTCCTAAACGGAACGGAACATAGCCGTTCAGTTCTCCTTGGTTTTCAATGGTTCCACAGGTGGTGTTGTCAGTCTTTTGTGAAAACTACCTTAAGACCAGTCAAGCTACACAAATAACTAATTCATTTAATATCGATTAACTTCATTTTATCACTATCAACTAGTCAAAGAAAAAGTTCAATGTTATTTGAACCGGAATTATAAACTAGTATTCATAAACAACTAACACTTACTTTTGTAATGCTTACAACCAAATTTTTTGTCAGAGTATTAATTGTTTCATTATAATCAGATGTAATTCAATATTGAACAGTATGAATCTGCTCCCCAAACAATAGCTACTTCCTTAACGTGGTGGTCGAGCTTGCATATTACAACGACCCAACGAGCTACACTGACTGGGACGCTTATTCCCTCGAACTCCTACCATACCAAAAGGATCTGCTAGATAGTGGTAAAACGAAAAGCAGTTACCATCGTAGTGTAAGCTCCTACACTATGATGGGGGCCGAGGACGAAGTCGTAGTGCTGCCTGGATGGGTGGGATGAATGAAGGTGTTTTCCGTGGATGAAGAGCAGTACCATATTGATTCTAATTCTATGAGTTGGGAGCAAAATCAAAAAATTTGCCCTCGAAAACAGTAAACCACTCATTGCCGTACAGTATACCACTGCGGGTGACATGGGGCTTCAGAAAAACGAAATCTCAAACTAAGAGTCCTCAAAAGGCTGTGTGTGCCAGACCCAAGCGGATGTCTCATGGGCTCTGTGGTCACATAAGTCTTTTTCTTTTATTCTGTAAGGTGCCCTGCAGAAACAACTTCCAAGGTATGAGCAGTTGGGAAGTACCAGTCGCTTTCACGCTTTCAGTAGTGCACAAAACAAACAAAAATGACCCACCTTCCTCACCTTCCCTTTTTTCTTAGCCTTGACTTCCTGATACCAACATTAAGCTTCTACAGCATCCCCAATTTCTCACTCTATGACCATTGCCAACGATCCTAGCCGCTGAAACCCCACTCCTAGTCTCTAAAAATCTTGCTACCGTTTTTGCAACGTCCTAACCCTGTGCCAAATTAGTATTATTACTTGTCCTTGGGTTCTTAGTGGAACATAGGGCTTCAGTAGCACGTTGCCATTCCACTCTCTTCTCTGCAGTCTTTTCAATCTGGCTCAAAGACTTCCAGAAGCTTTCATTCTTTCCTCACACGATCGCTTTCATGTCACCCTCAGCTGGGACGCCCAACTCATCGTCTCCCCTTTGAGGTCCACTCCACGACCTAACACGCCAAGTCTGTCAACCATCACATAGAAGCATTGACTTACTTCACTGACATTACTGTTGAAAATCCAGATCTTTTTCACGCTTTATGCTGAGTGAAGTAGATCTCCACACTAGTTTCAGATTAATGAAAACCGGTCTTGCTGTCTTTCCAATCCTGGCTTTGACGTTCTCATCTGTGCCTGTGCCATCTGTAGTTGAAACGATGCTGCCTAGACAGGTAGGTGAAAGAGGCAACTTCCTTTAGATTTCTCTCATTCATGTTGATGGGTGCATGTTGTTGTTGTTGTTGGTGTTCATGGTGTTGTTGGTTGGGTATCTTCATCACCTCTACCTCTGTCTTCTCTACGTTCACCTGAAGGAAGTCCTGTCTTTACTGCACTGCCTCTTCTGTCAACTTGTCGCCTGTAGATTGCGAGACAAGGCATCAGACATACGTAATCATCATCATCGGTGAAATGTAAATCTTTTTCTGGGGTCTTTTCATCGGTCCAGCCAGTATATACGCATGTTCTTGCTCCTTACAGTTTGTTGTATGATCCAGTCGAGTCGAGTCGAGTCGACCACAATCAGGAAGATGATCGGTGATAGCCGGCTGCCTTGTCTCACTCCTATCCACTGTCTTCACTTCAGAGGCATCACTGAGCTTTCTATTACTGTGTGAATCACTTGGCGTGTAGCATAATATAGCATAGCAGATAGCTGTTGAATGTGCTTGATAGGGGTTTGTGGCACTGAGATGGTAGTGTTGAAGCAGCTGCCTGCCAAATTACTTTTCTGTGGATGCTATCGCGGGCCTTTTCGAAGTCGATGAAATTGAGGTAGAGAGTTGACTGCCATTCTATGCTGTGTTCTGTGATGATGATGATGATGATGATGAGTAGCGTAGTGTTGCGATTTGACTCACACATGATTTGTACTTCCTGAGGTCAGCCAGCCTGTTTCTGTCGTAGTTTTGAATCCAGTGCATCCTTTAGTCTCTCCAGTATGATGCGGCTTAATATTTTGCTTTGGGTGAACAGGAGTATGGTTCCACGCCAGTTCTTGCAAACACTTAGGTCACATTTGTTTGGAAGTTTGACCAGGTGGCCGTTATTCCAATCGCCAGTCACCTTTCCTTTTTTTCCCTCTAGACCTTCTGCATTATTGGTGTGAGCATATCTGGTGTTGTCTTTGTGTCTGTTTTCAGTGCTTCTGGTGGAATTCCATCTGATCCTGCTGCTTTGCCGGCCTTCAGCAGCTTTATCGAGTTCAGGACTTCACTTCTGCTTTTGTCGGAGGGCTTGCGTTGACTGGTAATTCTGTGGCTGGTCTGCTGGTGGCATTTCTGGTAGTCGACTCAAGATTTTTCTGAAGTGGTCAGCCCTTTGTTTCTCCTCTTTGGTAACTTCACTTCTTTCACTATCTTTCATTGGTTTCATCTGTGCTGTGTTCATCTCTTTCCTCCCTGATCGTATCCCGGTTATTTGATATTGTGTTGTCAGGTCTCTGTCCCTCCTACCTACGGCCTGTTCTGCTTTACTTGCCAATGTGTCGTAGAAGTGTCTTTTGTCTTTCCACACACTCTTCTTCACTTCTTTGTCCAGTGTAGTGTTTTGTATGTTGTGTTTATTTCCTCTTTTCGTTGTTCATCCATTCACTGCACTGCACCGCACCGGTTTATTTTCTGCTTCACCATCTTCCTCTCCGTCATTGATCAGCTTCCATGTGTCCATGGAGATCCATTCCTTGTCTGGCTGCTTCTTCTTCCTTCCTAACATAGTTATGCAGGTTTCTTTCCACGTCTCTCTCAGAGAGTTCCAGTGTTCTTGCACATGGGTTTTCTCGTGGATGTTGCCTAATGTCTGCCATTTTGTCCTGATGACTGGCTGACGTGAAGATGTCCTTTGAAGTTTCGTCCTTCAGTTCAGTGTCTATTCTGGGTGGTAAACTTGGACTGTGGCCTATCACCAACTTCTTTGAAGGCTTTCAACTTGATTTTGAAGGTATGTTGCTTGCACTAGATAGTGAAGTGAGTGGTGTGAATCTACATGTGCTCCCCTTCTTGATGTGAACTTGTGTCCAGTAGGCTGTGTCTTCACTTTCTTGAGATTGAGATGAAGTGGATCTGATTTTTAGTGTAGTGTAGTGTGTCCTGGTGTGGTGTCTGGTGAAATCAAATCCATGTTGCTTTGTGAATATCTTTGTGTTTGTACACACTGCCTGACTCCAATCACCAAATTATTAAAGGTGCAGAAGTCTGCAAACAGTTTTGCATTCTCATACATCATTTCACCGAGTGCTACTTGACCCATGATTTGTTCTCTTTCTGTGTTGTCCACTGTCCAGTTTGGCATTCATGTCACCGATTAGGATGAATTTTGATGTCTCCATCTGGGGTGTGGTCTTGTCTATTACTGATTGCAGTTGTCTGTAGAATGACTCCTTGTTCTGTTGATCTGTATTATTTGTAGGTGCGTAGCGTAGCATTGTGTGATTGTGACTTTGCTTCCTTTTGAGTTGAATGTTGCTGTCATGATGCTGATCGTGGAGGAGGAGATTTGTTCCCACTGCATGAGAGAGAGAGAGAGAGTCTTCGATGCTCTTGAAGGGGATATGATGATAGCGACTGCAAAACTTAGTGTGCTGGTGGTTGTCGTCTGGATGACAATATCGGAGTAGATTACTGACTGTCCAGTTGATAGTTTGGAGAGTCCACTTGCATTCCATCTGCTTCCACAGATTCCTAGCACTTCTATGCTATACCTTCTCATCTGTTTTGCAATCTGGTCAGGCTTGCTAGGTTGATACATGGTGCGGACATTCCATGTCGGCATCAGTACATT